ATGTGACTCCATCCCAGGATTCTCAATCCCTCCAGGGATGTGACTCCATCCCAGCCCTCTCAGCTGTGCCAATGCCTCCCTTTCCCTTTCCATGGAAAAATCATTCCTAATATCCAATCTAAATCCAATTTAAATTCCCATCCCTGCCCTCCCTCCCCCTGATCATGGAATTCCCAGGGAATCCAGCACAGCCCTCCCAGCCCTGCAGGGAATTCAGGTGTTCTGGGATGTTCACACCCCCCCCAGCTGCTCCCAGGGAATTCCAGAGCTCAAATCCACACAAACCAAATTGAATTTTACACCTCCCCAAATCCCCGGAGGAATCCAAGCCCAGGCAATTCCAGAGGGAACATTTGGCAAAGGAATTAAAATTAACCCCGAGTGACTCCTTTGCTCCGAGGGATGAGAGGGGAAAAATTCAGGAATTCTGAGCGACATCCAAAACCTTCCCAGTCCCAAAAATCCATCCCCAAATTCCCATTACAGCAACAGAAGCTTTACACAGATTTATTTCCTTTTATTTTCCCTTCCTTGCTTTTATCTTTTTTGTTTCTTTCCTTTTCCCCTTTCCTTTATTTCCTCCCTTTTATTTTCTTTTCTCCTCTTCTTCCCTTTTTCTTTTATTCCTTTTTTTGGTCTTTTTTTGATCCTCTTAAATTTTTTCCCCTTTTCCTTTTTCCTTTTTTCTTTGATTTTTCCTTTTATTTTTCCCCTTTTCTCATTTTATGTTTTCCTCTTACTTTCCCTTTAATTTTCATTTCCCCCACTCTTTTCATTTTACTCTTCCCTTTTTATTTTGCTCTTCTCTCATTTTTCCTTTTTTTTTTCCCTCTTTTTTCCTTTTGCTCCCAGCCTGGGCTCAGCAGGAAAAACAAAGGAATATTTTTCCCTTTTTCCCTTTTATTTTCCCATTTATTGGTTTCCTTCCCTTCTTTTTTCCTTTTTTCCCCTTCCCCCTCTTTTTTATTTTCCTTTTCCCTTCTTTTTTCCTTGTATTTCTTCCTTTTATTTTCCCTTTTCCCCATTTTATTTCAGTTTTCTTCTTATTCTCCCCCCCATGGATCCCTTTTATTTTCCCTTCCTTACTTCTGTCTTTTTTCTTTCTTTCTTTCATTTTCCCTTTTCCTTTATTTTTCCCTTTTATTTTCCTTTCTCCTCTTCTTCCCTGTTTCTTTTATTCCCTTTTTGTCTTTTTTTACCATTTTTAATTTTCTCCTTCCCCCTTTCCTTTTATTTTCCTTTTTTCATTGATTTTTCCTTTTATATCCCTTTTCCCTCTTTTTCAATTTTATTTTTCCTCTTATTTTCCCTTTCATTTTCTTTTCCCCACCTTTTTAATTTTTCTTTTCTCTTTTTCCCCTTTCATTTTGCTCTTCCCCCATTTTTCCTTTTTTTTTTCCTTCTAATTTTCCTTCTTTCCATCTTTATTTTCCTTTATTTTTCCCCCCCACGAGGCTTGGCCTGGAACTGCTTTTCTTCCTAGCACAAACCTTTCCTTTCCCATATTTCAAATCCAGGGAATTCTTTTGGGGCCACTCTACGTTTGAAGCTCCAACTTTTGGCTCTGCCAATTCCAGAGCCAGGGAAGGAAAAAAAAAAAAAGCAGTTTTCAAATGCTGAACTGGAAATGACAAATTTTGATCTTTTATAGCTTGAAATAGATGAAATTATTTAAATATATTTATATAGTACGTAAATATATATCTACACAATATTAAATATTTTAAAAGAAACTGTATAAATAATATATTGTTAAATATGAATATTTATGATTCCGTATTATATAAATAAATTACATAAATTACATAAATCAATGTAAAAAATAAAATAAACTGCATACATCTACGGTATTATGTTGTAATGCTATTTTCTATATTTATCCATATAAATAATATCTGTAAATAATATTTATAATATCTACAAATTATATTCCATCATTTTAAAGCCATTAAAGGGTTATTGGGGGAGTTTTTTTAGGAATTCCATCATTTTAAAGCCATTAAAGGGTTATTGGGGGAGTTTTTTGGGAATTCCATCATTTTAAAGCTATTAAAGGATTATTTGGGGAGTTTTTTTAGGAATTCCATCATTTTAAAGCCATTAAAGGGTTATTGGGGGAGTTTTTTTAGGAATTCCATCATTTTAAAGCTATTAAAGGGTTATTTAGGGAGCTTTAGGAATTCTGTCTCTCTTTTAGGCACAGACTCCCTCAAGGTTTAGGGGACCCCAACACTGGGCCAGTCCTGATCCCAAAATCCGAATGGAACCGGGATTTGGGAGAACATCTGATCCCAAAATCCCAATGGAACCGGGATTTGGGAGAACATCTGATCCCAAAATCCCAATGGAACCGGGATTTGGGAGAACATCTGATCCCAAAATCCCGATGGAACCGGGATTTGGGAGAACAGGAGAACTCCAGGAGCCTCCCCCGGGGCTGAGCAGGGACCACTCTGGGGGAGCAGGGAGGAAAACCGAGCAGATTCCCAGGGGGATTGTCCTGGGAATGGGGACCCTGCACAGCACCCATATCCTGAGGGTGCCCCCTTCCTGCCAGGACACCCCAATTCCCACCAGGACACCCCAAATCCCTGCCAGGACACCCCAAATCCCTGCCAGGACACTCCCAATTCCCACCAGGATTCCCATCCCAAAGGAACCCAAATCCCAAGGACAGAACACCCCATTCCCTGCAGGATACCCCATTCCCAACGACAGGACACCCCATTCCCGAGGACAGAATAATCCATTCCCTGCAGGGCACCCATCCCAAAGGCACCCCAATCCCAAGGACAGGACACCCCATTCCCTGCAGGACACCCCAATTCCCGGGGGATCCCTGGGGGATGCAGCAAACACCCCCCGAGCCAGCTCCTTCCTCCTCCCAGCCACTCCATCCCAATTCCTGATTCCCGATTCCCAATTCCTGATTCCCAGTTCCCAATTCCTGATTCCCAGTTCCCAGTTCCCGATTCCCAGTTCCCGATTCCCAATTCCCGATTCCCAATTCCCGATTCCCAGTTCCCGATTCCCGATTCCCTCTCCCCTCCGGTCCCTGCGGCCGCCGGCCGAGCCTCAGCCCAACGCCGCCTTTTCCCAGCCCTCCCGGGCAGGGATTTTCCAGGTCTAACCCTGGCACTCCGCTTTCCTTGGAGTTCTCATCAATAAAGTTCAGCCCGGCTGGGCTCAGGGTTGCCCAAAAAGCTCGGGATTATGCCCGGAGCTTTCCCCTCCCCGGCTCACGGAAGGCTTGGAGCTACAAAGGATTTCCTTGTCAGGGAAATGGAGCATTTTACAGGGATCTATAAATATCCATCCCAATCCTGCGCTGAACGCAGGAATTATCTCCAAGGAGCTTGGGAATGCGGCGCTGATGGCTGAGAGCGCAGCCCGAGGCTCCCGGAGATGTTCCCTGCCAGGAAAACAGGACAGGGATGCTGGGACAGCGGCAGGACCAAAAAAAAAAACCGATTTGGGATCATCCAGTGCCTCCCCTGGCCATGGGCAGGGCCACGTTCCATGGACCCGGCTGCTCCAAGCCCCAGGGATGTAGGGACAGGCGCGGCAGGAGCCAGGGATGCCCAAGGGACACGGGAGGGGTGGGATGTCCCCAGGGGAGCGGCAGTGGGGCCACGGCTCTGCCACAGAACCGTGGAATTGTTTCGGTTGGAAAAGCCCCCCAAGACCATGGAGTGCAACCATCCCAACCATTCCCAGCACTGCCAAGGACCTCAGGGAATTATTGAGGCTGGAAAAACTTCCCAAGATCACCGAGTCCAACCATCTCAACCACCCCCAGCGCTGCCAAGGCCCTCTGAGACCATCAAGTCCAACCATCCCAACTGTTCCCAACACTGCCAGGCCCTCATGGAATTACTGAGGCTGGAAAAGCCCCCCAAGATCACCAAGTCCAACCATCCCAACCATTCCCAGCATTACCAAGACCCTCTGAGACCATGGATTCCAACCATCCCAACCATTCCCAGCATTACCAAGACCCTCTGAGACCACTGAGTCCAACCATCCCAACCCTTCCCCGCACTACCAAGCCCCTCATGGAATCACTGAGGCTGGAAAAGCCCCCCAAGATCACCGAGTCCAACCATCCCAAACATTCCCAGCACTGCCAAGACCCCCCCACACACATCCCCAAGAGGAATGGGGACACCCCCCACCCCTGCCCTGGACACTTTTCCAGGAAGGAATTTCCCTGCTGGCCCACCTTGAGCAGCTTGCAGCGGATCTGAGCCGAGACCATGTGGCTGTTGCGGAGGTTTCCCACGCGGAACATGAGCGTGAGCTTCCCGTCGCGCATGGAGATGGCGGCGTGCTCGCTGAACATCAGCGTCTCCGCCCTCTTCTTGGGCTGCGACATCTTGATGAACATGCAGCCGATCAGGAAAGCATCCACGATGGAGCCCAGGATGGACTGGAAGAGGAAGAGGATGATGCCCTCGGGGCACTTGTCGGTGATGTAGCGGTAGCCGTAGCCGATGGTGGCCTCGGTCTCGACGAAGAAGAGGAAGGCGGAGGGGAAATTGTACACGTTGGCCACACACGGGCTGTACGAGTCCCCGTGCGCCTGGTGCAGGTCACCCCGCAGGTACGCGATGCCCCACCACATGGAGGCCATCACCAGCCAGGCCACCGTGTAGGTCAGCAGGAAGATGAGCAGGTTCCAGCGCCACTTGAGGTCCACCAGGGTGGTGAAGAGGTCGGACAGGTAGCGGCTGGTCTCTCCGCCCAGGTTGCCGTGCTGCACGTTGCAGCGCCCGTTCTTGTCCACGAAGCGCTGGCGCTTCCCCCGCGGGGCGCTGCGCGGGGGCGGGAGGCCCCCGCCGCTGGCCGAGGTGCTCACCACCTGGTACTCATCGCCCAGCTTGCGCCGCAGCGCCGACATGCTCCGCGCAGCCCCGCGCAGCCCGCGCAGCCACCAAAACCCCGCGCAACCCGCGCAGCCGGCAGAGCCCGCGCAACCTGCGCGGCCACCAAAACCCCGCGCAGCCCCGAGCACAGCGCGCAGCCACCAAAACCCCGCGCAGCCGGCAGGGTCCGCGCACACCGCGCAGCCACCAAAACCTCGCTTAGTCCCGCACAGCCACCAAAACCCCGCTTAGTCCCGCACAGCCACCAAAACGCCGCTTAGTCCCGCGCACAAAGCGCAGCCACCAAAACGCCGCTTAGTCCCGCGCAGCCACCAAAACGCCGCTTAGCTCCGCGCACACCGCGTAGACACCAAAACCCCGCTTAGTCCCGCGCACAAAGCGCAGCCACCAAAACGCCGCTTAGTCCTGCGCAACCGGCACAGCCCGCGCAGCCACCAAAACCCCGCTTAGCCCCGCGCAGCCCCGCACACCCCGCACAGCCATCAACATCCCGCGCAGCCCGCCCGGCCCCGCGGCCGCGGAGCCTCCGCCCGGCGCCGCCGCCTCCCACGCGGAGCCGCCGGCAGCGGCCCCGGGCAGGGCGGCACCGCTCCGCGCAACGCCCCGCGCAGCGACACTCCTCCCGCACCGCCCCGGACCCGCCCCTGCATCCGCGCACCGCACCTGGGCCCGCCCCCAGCCCCCGATCCGCCCCCTTCGGCCCTCAGCGCGCAGCATCCCCCGCGCACAGCCCGCCCCGCGCATCCTCGGTGCGCTGCGCATCTTCATCCTGCGCTCCGTCCTTCCCCCAGCATCCTTCGCTCCTCTTCCTCCTCCCCCCCCCCATCCTCCTCCTCTTCGTCTTCTTCTCCCCGGCATCTTCCCCCTGGGCTGCGTCCTTCCTCTTCCTCCTCCTCCGGCCTCGGAGGGGCTCCAGCTCCCACAGAACCAACCAGGAGGGGCCGAGGGGA